TAACATTATAGTTATTTTAAATAAGTACTTTTTTATTGAAATTATTATTATTTTTAAGAAATATAAGTAACCTATTATAATACTTTTGTAAGTCGAGCAAAGTATGTATAGTGTATATCAAGGTTTTTTTTATAAGATAGGCAGAGAAAAAGTCACATTTTCTATTTAAGATATTACAATAAATGGGAAAGCGAATTCAATTTAAAAAAAAATCAGGAGATTTGATTTTAATGTAATAAATAAAACTATTTAAATTTAATTGATACAACAGAAGGAATTTATTGTAATCAATATTATTGTAAAATCAAATTGAATAATTGAATAATATTCACGCCAGCCAGTAATATATTAAATAGCTTTAATTTAATGCAAAGCTCAACGTTCGATACTCTTAATATGAAATGCGAAACAATAGCTGGACCAAAACGAAAGCAATCTTTATTACTCATCTTACATTACTTCGATATTGTTGTTCAGTTCAAATTGATTTTAACCGGAGAAGATAAGAGTTTTATGTAGGAACGGTATATCGGAAAGTAAATGCAGGGAAACCGTAGTAATGTTTGTTTCAATATTGAATTAGACTCGACAGTGCGGCTATAAAGTGACCGCGGAGCTAAACTGTGTACACAAACATTGAGGGCAAGTGTTACTAAGCAAAAATATGTATGTTGAGATGTGTAGGAATGTTTCCGCGTTACTTTTGTCCTTCCAACAAAGAAATTATTTATTCCATTCATCCATTCCACATTGTACCTACGAATGAGACCGCTGATTGCATCTTAGAATAAGAAGTATGAGTCGAAACGCAAACTCGTGAATTTGCGTGTAGTAACTAAGTCGCTACAATATTCGCATATAAGTTGCAAATATATTTTTCAAAATGATAAATATTTTTATGTGTTGAATGTATTGAATGCTAGAGAATTTCATCAACGATTATCGGGATTCTTTGTCATTTGGTCTTTTTTGTGGAAATCTTTAAGGATGCCAAGATATTCTGAATTTATTAACAATTTAGAATTCAACTCAATCATAATCATCAGAATGATTATGATTGAGTTCTGAATTGGTCATGAATATTAATGTAACATTTTTTACTAAACATTTTGTACTGTTAGTACTAACTAACTTTGTAATATCTATTTTATTATAAAAAAAATGTAAAGAAATAACAATATACTATGGTTGAATGAGTTAACATATTTACCAGTGCCTATTCCTTCGAGTGAAACTCACTTGCACTGGTTCTGGTTTTTTTATAGCGTGTTACATTTATCGCCCTTTCTATAGCTCGGCAGGTAGTCCCCAAGGCAGGTGTAGAAGCTTAATTTAGTGTAAGTAAAACACCGCGTACGCTATGGGAAAGAGAAATTTGCAATAGCAATACAACTTGAGCCAATGTTGACCTCACGATTTCAATTGTCCATGCAAAATGTTACGGGAAAACTATTCGATGTCACGAGAGACAATTCCAGTTTTATATTCAAGGTCAGATATGTGTTCGCTGACACTTATTGGATGTCACTAGGGTCAGGCCTTAGGGAACGGTACACGATGTGATTGTAAGCAAGATATTTTGGTAGCGCAACCAGTTGCAGTGGCTTCTTCCAACGGATTTCTTATCAGAAGTCGGGAATCATTAAATTGACATTAAACTGTTCGCAGTCGTTTCGATAAACGTAAAAATATATACAAATTACAGCCTCAAGAAAGTAGACAATAATATTACAAAGTAGATAAAAAATAATCACTGTCTAATTAAATCTTGTTTAACGGACACGGGTATGACATAGATAGATATAGATAGAATTTTATAAATATAAATATTATTATTATTTATTAATTTATATTATTCCCAATATACATTTTTTTAACAAATATATAATTGTAAAGAGACTGATTATTACGTTATAACACTGTTCAATATTAACTTATTATAATAATCTAATAATAACCATAATTTTTATAATATTTATTGGAGGTCAATTAGAGGTAGCTTATAATCTTAGACATATGCTAGTCTTTACTCTGTAGGATAGCGTGCAGTGAGTGCGTTAGAACCTACTAGATCATTATTAATTAAAAACAAATATCCATAACAAGTAACAAGTTATAGTGTTGTAACTTCAGGTACAGTAATTGGAACCTAATTGAAACTATATTAGACTACAATTTCCTATTTATAATATCACATCGAAGACATTATAAAATTATAAATAGGAAGCAGGATGTTAAGTTAATAATATAAAGCTGTAATTACTGGTACCATGTTATTCATAAATGCATCAAGCGATTAATTAACAGTTTTGAAGTGTCCACTAATTGAGAATGATTATGATAAGATAGTAATAATAATAATACCTTATGAATTATCCAAGGTATATCCTTGGATAATTCACACAGCGCCATCTAGTGCCGAGATAAGCAGGGCTTGCGTTATGGGTACTAGACAACTAATAAAAATACATAGATATATTTTTTTATAAATACATAACAGAAACAGAGAAAACCTATGAATACAAATGGATTCTACTTTTATTTTCTGGAAATAAAAGATATGAAACTTTGTAATCAATATCTGAGTTAAATGTATATTATATGCATATATTGGAAGTGAGTCATCTTTACTCATTGCTCTTTAATGGACTTGTGAAAATACATTTATTTAAATAATTACCGCATTACTTTATAGTTAACTTGCTATTACCTGAGACTTCTTCTGCTTTTTTTGATATAAAAGATAGATTAAGTACCTCCTCGTAATTGAATCTATCTTCACGCCTCATTAAGATACATTTAGCCGTTTAGGAGCGAAAATGGTAACAAACAGATAAGAACATTTTCACATTGTAACAATTAAATTGAAGTATCGATTAAACGGTTCCATATATGAATGTTATTGAAGACTGATTGTAATTAACATTTAGATGCAAGGAGCCAGAGCCGTTGCTAGCTTACTGTAAGCCAAAACAACACTGGCTTGCGAATATATTTTATTATTTTAGATGCATCGCAAGTACGTAAAGATTCAATGGCCACCCGGTTTGAACACACCGCGAGTCCGGGCGCTTATTCTGATTTCATTTCGGATATTTTTATAATTAATTCTAATAATAATTGTTATTAAATAATTTAACACCCTTAGTTCAGTACAATGCGACTGATTCATGATGACCCATTATTTTTTCTAATACGTCCAGTACGTATTTATATTTATGAAATATAATTACGTAATTAATATTTTTCTTTATAGAATAAAGAAGAGGGCAGGTTTATTTTCCATAATAAGTCGAAAATAATGTATTTTAAATATATAAAAAAATCTAAACCTAATTTTAGACATATGTAAAAACATTTTATGAAGCTTTTCCATTCCGTTTAACGTTTAATGAAACCATTCAAAACTTGACATAAGTATTACAGTTCTGAATTATGCCACCAATAGGCAGATGATGTAATTTTTATCAACTTACAAAAAAAAGTCAAAAATATCTATCAGTTGCCCAGTTCATAGTCTATGTAAGCTAGCAAAGCTGTATTTAGAGTTTTGTTTAGAATTATATCATTTTATGTGATTCTTACCTAAACAAAGCTAAGGTTAACTTTACGTATATATAATGATTTTACATAACATTACAAGTTCAATATTTTTTTTGTTACGTATATTTAATGTTAGCTACAATTATAGAACTAAAAAGTATATAACAATAAATTTAATTTATTAACAGGAAGGAGCAACTTAACGAGTTGGAACTAATTAATAACCTAAGCATCAAGTCTGATTAATTACAATCAATTGACTAAAGTTTTTTCTATATCTTATAATTTGTTACTATTTAATTAGTTATATTTTTCTTTCTTTCGTTTCATTATTTATGAATAAGGAGAAAATCTATTCGTTTTTCCATTCTATTTTTTGTTGTAATCTTCACGACTGAAGTCAGTTTTATTTGTAATAATATAAATAATGAATTATACTTCGCCTGTTTTGATGATTAATAAAAAATTAACAAAGATATATTTACTTAATTTGTGACTGTAGAATCTCTTTTATTTATATTTTATGGGAACTTTAATTTTTGAGGCTTCTGCTCTGAAGGGAGAGGTTGTATTATAGCCAAACCATTCTCGCATGTTTTTCATCCAGAGTGTCGCCTTCTACCGATACTTCTGTTTCCAGCAATCTTCCCTGATCAGGTGGTGTATAAAAAAGCAAAGTAGCCTGCATAGATTCGTAACTGCAGCTACTTTTAATTCTTTTTGCCATATGTGCTAATACGAAAACTATCTAGTCGCACTTAAGTTAAATTTCGATTAACTTCCTGCATGAAACTGGCGTAGAAAAAGTTTAGACGGCTGACAAAAACAGAATTCGTATATATATAATAAAGATTTGACGCGGTAGCGGATTTGCCCTCAATAAAAAACGTATAAAAGCTTGTGATATCACAGTAAGTGGCAAAAATATAGCACGATCAGTTTTCATACAAATTGTGCTACTCGCCACATCTATTGATATCCATGTCTATTATAGACATGTTTATATTTAATTTAAATATTTATTTTACTGATATTTATACTGATATCGAATTGATATCAAATTCGACCACTGGATAACCACTGTTACAGTGCTTATCCAGTGGTCGAAATTCGACATTAATTAATTTAACACTGAGTAAGATCCTAGAAAATAATATTAATGTTATTAAGATGGGGTCCACTACATGACACGACGCTCATATTACAAACCATGTATGTCTACGCTTACTGAAATGTAAGTACAGTGAAGTAAATTTCATTAGAACTTTATATATATTTTGTATGTAATTACAAAAAAAAAGAATTAAATGTTTCTACTACTTGTCTAGAACTCATAACACAAGCTCTGCTTAACTTGGGACTAGATTGCGCTGTGTCAATTATCCAGGGCTATAATATTGAATGATTATACAATTATATATATAATATTACACACTAATGTATATACTTATACTCACGAGTGGTCTTTGAGTATTGATTCTACCCGTCCAGTGTGTGTATTCCATACGTATACAGCGCCGTCTGCAGATCCCACAGCAACCAGTCTCCCGCCGGGGCCGAACGCGGCTCTGGACCAGTCGCATCCTACTTTGAAAGACTCGTGGCTGAAAACATCATCAATAATTCTTGCATTCTAAAGTTATAATGTGTTTTTATACTAAAATTTAAAAGTGTCGTCACAAAATGCAGGCTTGGAAGGCTCTTAGATTCAATGATTGTTTTACACGAAGTTTGTGACTTCTCTAAACCCTCATTATACAATGTTACTCTTTGTCAACTTCACTCCATTCTTACGATAGCGATTAGCAAGAGGTCAGACAAATTGTCTTACTGACTGGAATTTCCCAAATATTGTATACTGGGTATACCCCAGATGATTGATTCGAAACGAAACATATCTCCTCTTTAGTTTAGAATTTACATAAAAAATTGAGAATCTTTAATAGCTAAAAGAACATTGTTTTTTATATCATACCAGTAAGGTTTATTTTTTTTAATTCCTAGCTTCATATTTTGCACGTTTATCACAGGTTTATCATTTCGCCCTTGGTAACTATGGTCATTATGCCAGTTACTCATCTTTCATTTCAATGATACGTCACAACATGGGGACATTAACTGTCACAAAAAAGTGACAGTCCGTTTAGGAATGTCACTTTTTACTTACTATAATTACGCGGAAACAGAAAACGAAAGTGGCGAGATTTGGCACGACAATATATCGTTATTTGCAACTAAAAGTAAATTATGAAGATTAGTGCCATTAGACCAATGGGACAGACAGTCATAAATATGTTTGGTTAATGTTACCTGAAAGAACGGACAATCGTGTTCATCCGTAAGTCTATTAGTTGTATTGTGTCGTCCCGTACACACGCCAATAAATAGTTGCTATCTGAAACAAAACATATTTAAGTTGTTTATTTCTACGAATAGTATATTTATTTTAGTTGAATATTATGTCTAACGTGTATGTTCATAATATATATACGCTTAAGTTTTTTGTACCTACATACTCTATAAAATATTTTAATTATATTTCAATTCAGGTGCAATAAAGAGTGATAAATAAAATGAATGAATAAATATTTCATAGTTTGCATATGGCCCAAATAAAAAAAAAAAATTGTTATCGACACTAAAAAAGGGGAAATAATTCCCTTCTTAAAGGTACTAACAAACCTTTCTCTACTATACCCATGGTAAACAATATTTTCCTGTGTCTAATAGTATATACATCCCTTTACATTGAACCATCACACGCTATGTTTTATTAAACCATTCTAGTGAATTCAAGTCATCAATAACAGCCAACTAAATAAACTTCATGCTTTTCCATTTTACTTTCATTTTAATTATATTGCTCAAAATAGCAACGTGTGTGCTATTCATTAAGAAAAAATAAGACAACAATTTGTGATATAAAGTGTTATTATCAAATAACGATTTAAAGAGATTAATGATCATTTCTTTAAATCATTATTAATTTTCTTGTATAGCTAAGTTGGATGCGTGTCACGTCGCGGTGATGTTCAATCGTATCGTATTCGGTGACATACAACGCAGTGGCTCATCGCGGCACACTAATGTTTTGCAAAGCAAATAGATGGTCGATACCATTGATGGATCTGGACCGACCGTGATCACTAACTGTGAACCGTCTCCCTATTCATTTGTCCATCGATCTCCGGCGACGAAATCGACGTGATTTAATCAGTCCCGTACGTAGTGACGTACCGAGGCAACGATTGATTGAAAGTATCAGTCTTAACGTTTTGTGAGCGACCGTTATTGACAAAAAAGGGTTCGCCGAGAGGCGTGTAACGGAATTAAGTGGCGGGCAACTCGTCACATTGTTATGTCGACACGAATTATATACTACGTATTCAATTAACTTTGAATACTGGTCTCCATTCTATTGAAATTAACGCCATTTACGACGTAACTGCATATTAAAACTATCATTTAAGTATCAACAGGAAAGATTAACTAATATTTGATTAACTCCCTGTAGTCCTAACAAAGCACCTATAAACTTGTAATTAAGGTGCCTTTAAATTTATTGTCATTACTTTGTTGTTAAGTGGTATGGACATTTTATGTAACAATTTATTAGACTTAAATTCTTATACACGGGAAGAAATGAGGGGATTGAACTCCAAGAACGGGACGGTGTGTGGATTGCGTAATACAAATCAAAGTAATTTCATTTTTATGATTGATACATTTTGGTGCGTTCATATGGAAAATATGAATACGTCAAATGATCAGATCTATTCATGTTAAGATGCATCATGACATGGGTAGCAATCAGTAACCTGTATATTTCGTAGTGTAAATAAGAAGATTAACATCTGGAATGTCTATGTTGAGTGCACTCATTAATATCAGTTTTTAGGTGCGCGTATACTTAAAATAATAAGTGGATGTGTAATATTCATGTTATCAAACCTGTACTACCATATCTTCGCTTTTTTTTCGGACTACTCTAATGCTGTTGGCCGTAGCTGGCCTTTACAGCTTCACCGGACGTTATGGGGCGAGTGCAGATGGCACTCCAAACCCGCGGAAGGACTTATGGAGCGGCTGAAGGCCAACTCCTGCCCGACGGATACGACTTTAGTCTGAGGGCACCACTAGGGGTTCGAACCTCGGCTCAGGCCGTCGTAATTTCGATCCCCGTTTGAATTGGACGGGGGGTCGATCGGAGGGGCGACCGGGGGCGCCGGTGTGGAGCGCCCGGGCGCGCGCAGGCGCCCGGTTGAATGCGCGATATTGTGTGTTTGAGGTCGTCGTCTTCGCCGGCGAGGACGGTGTCGTGTGTGTGTGTGTAAAAGTGTGGTCGGGGTGGAACGGGTGGGCCCGTGGGGAGGTTACCTGCCGTTATGGGGTCGTCGGGGTCAATGAGAACGTGCCTCGGGCGACGTTGTCGCGTATGTCGGATATTCCTCCTCGGTGCGTAGTCGACCGCACTGACTATAAGCGGATTAGGGTGGGATTGGGCAGAGTCGAAGTAGCGTCGAGACGCTTCCTTCATAAACTGCTTGATGGAGGGCAGATTAAGATCGCGGTGGAGATCTACGCTGCGAACGAACCACGGCGCACCGGTGGCTCGACGCAGAAACCTATTCTGTATGACCTGTAGTCTGTTGATTAAACAGTAGGGTATGTGGGAGAATACGGGACTAGCGTAGGTCATGATGGGACGGATGCAAGCCTTGTATAATGTCAGCTTGTTGCGAAGCGACATTTTTTACTAGTATAAAGGCGGCTCGGTCGCGGACACGCTTGATGTGAGGACGAAACGTTAGTTTCCTATCTAGGGTGACGCCGAGATATTTCGTTTTCGAAACCCACGGGATGTTTTGGCCGAATAGTTCGATCGGGTGATTCATGGAGTCGAATTCCCTGCTAAAGTACACTGCTGCACTTTTTTCGGGATTGACTTCTATGCGCCACCGACGGAACCATTCGCCCAGTATCGTTACGGCTTTCTGAAGCCGTCTGGCTATTGTCGCTCGGGACTTGGCGGATGTAAAGAGAGCCGTGTCATCGGCAAACAGCGATATTTCGACTTTTAAGTCGGAGAATTTAGGGATGTCGTTGGTGTACAACGAGTAGAGCATCGGAGAGAGGACGGCGCCCTGAGGGACGCCGGCTCGTATGGGGTGCGGGTCGGATAACACTCCGTTTATACGGTAGCGATAAGAGCGATTCGACAGGAAATCTCGTACAATGAGTACTAGCCTGTCGGGGACACCTAACTGATGAAGCTTGTAAATCAAGCCGTTGTGCCAGACTTTATCGAAAGCCTTAGCCACATGGAAAAATAGAACGCCTGTACCGCCTTTGGGGGACTTGGTGGCGAAGTACAGAGTGTTTTTGTGAATGTGCTCCGTGATGCGGTGCACTTGATGGACGCAGGAGTGTTTGGCTCGGAAGCCAAACTGCTCATTGATGAGCAGGCCTTTGGAGTATATAAACTCCTTTAGGCGGGCGAGGAGGAGTCGCTCGTACAGCTTGCCTATAGCCTTGAGGAGGCTGATAGGACGATAACTGGACGGGTCGGATTTATTTTTACCGGGCTTGGGGATGCCAATGACCACGGCTTCTTTCCAGCTGTCTGGAAATATAGCGTTGGACAGCGCCGCGTTAAAAATAGCGACGAGTAACACTAAAAGTTGGGATGGCAGACTTTTGACTAGCCTATTCGATATGCCATCTGAGCCGGGTGATTTTTTGATAGGTAGTTGTTTAACTAGCGTTTTGACCTCATCAAGCGTGACTGGTGAGAGAGATTCGGTAGGCGGGGTGGACGCGATGCGTTCGACTTCGGTGTCTATCTTCTCGAGATGACCTGCCTCGACTGGGAGCGTGCTGGGGGAGCATTGGGCTTCTAAGTTGGACGCTAGACACTCAGCCTTATCTTCGTCGAAGAAGGCTATAGTGTTGTCGGGTCGGACTATCGGGGGCATGTCGTTTGTATGTTGGTCGGTTTTGAGAGATTTCGCTATGCGCCAGTACTTCTAGGAGCTTCTAGGAGCTTGCCCCACCGGCCGTCCCGGATCTGCGCGATGCGCTCCTTAACGCTACGCTGTAAGGCTCGCAGGCGCACCCGGTTCGGTTCGGAGGGGTAGCGATCGTACGCTCTAGTGGCTGTGTTCTTATCGCTTATTAACCTCCTTACGTCATCGGGGAGCTGCCAGCGACGGTCGTCCGTCGCCGGTACCTCCCTGGAGCAGTCCTTGACTGCCGACTGCAGGTGGTTAGTAAGCGAGTCGATCGCAATGAGAGTGTCCTCGGTGGACTCTATGACGTCGGGAATACGGTTGAGTATCGGTGTGTCGGTCGATTCGAGAGATTTCTCGAGTCGTTGCCAGTCTGTTATTGTTTTGGTTGGTAGTGGCGTGTCGGGCGGAGGGCCCAAAAGGAGGGTTACCGGTCGATGGTATAAGCTCGGCATGGAATTTGGGGAGCTCACCCGTAGGGTTACGTTCCTCAGCAGTGCCATGTCCAGTATGTCGGGTCGGTGGTTCACGTTATGGGGATAATGAGTAGGGCGGAGCGGGGCGATTATCTCGAATTCGAGCGAGTCGGCTAGTCTGTCTAGTTTGTGGCCGTTTGTCGTGGACACGTGGCAGTTCCAGCGGGTGTGTTTACAATTCAAATCGCCAGCCAGAATGGTGGCGCTGTTGATATCTAGGAGGGCGCGTAGGTCGCTTTCCAGCAGTAGTTTGCCGGGAGGCTGATATACGGATGCCACGGCGAGCGGTCGGTGGCCGGTCATGCCGAGAAGACAGACGGAGGCCTCCATATGAGTGAGAGGCGGTGTTTGTAGCGGTATACAATGTAGGGACCGTTTATAGTATATGAGCGTACCGCCGCCTCTACAGGCGGTGCGGTCGTTCCTAACTATGTTGTAATTGGCGATTCTAGGATCGCGGACTGAACGTTTCAGTAGGGTCTCCTGCACGAGGAGAATATCGACTTGGTGGTCAGTGAGAAAGGAGGCGATTTCCTCCTTTTTGTTTTTTTAATTGTTCGAACGGACCGAGGCTTTTCTCTCTGAGCTCGAGTACCCATAATTACAGGTTAAAATTGAGGATGGCGGTAAGTACGCCGATGTGCTCGCAGACGGCTGCGAGCCTATTTTGGGGCGACTCCTTATACAGGCGGAGCTTGGAGGCTAGAAGGGCAATCTCGTTAGGGTCGATGGTGCTGGCTAAGCGAGCGACCAATGCGAAGTCCTGCGCGAGGGAGCTGCCGTTGGCCTTGGGGGCCGCGGGCAGTGTTTTGGGGACGGGTTTGTGTATGGGCATGGGCGGGGCTTTCTGGGCGGGCGGGTTGGGTGCTACCTTGCTTACAATTGCCGGGGGTTTAATCCAGGCATTGTTAGCAGGCAGAGGGGCGGGTACGAGTGGCTCGGGTTGTGTTTGAGCCTTGGCGGGGGGCACGTGCCGGAGCACGGTTGCCCTGGGTGTGGGTGGCCTTCTTTTTGGCGGGACGTGGGGCGCGTGAACAACCGCGGTAATTCGCGGTGTGACCCTCTGTGAGGCAGAGGGTGCAACTGGGGGGCGTGGGGGTATTGGGCCTACGGCCGCAATCTGCGGTGGCGTGATCGCCTAGGCACTTAACGCACCGTGGGCGAGCGAAGCAATTACGGGCAGAGTGCCCGTAGTTCTGACAACGGTGGCATTGTCCGGGGTAGGTACGCTCATATCTTCGCTTACTACTTCTGCTATAAATAACTCTTGATATCTATTTTATGAAGCAAGTTAAAAACGTGAAATTATGATGTAAATATTGCCATTTGTAAACAATCGCAGAGACAAAGACAAATATATATATGCAAAGACTTCTATTATTTCATAAAATTCTTGTTTCATCAAATTTCGTACACTGTCTTATATAAAACAGTTTCAGAGATACTTAACTCCTCCCTTGAGAGATTGTCAGACACATCAACAAAGACAAAAACACTGAAATATTAAAAGAAAGTTGTAGTTGGATTGCACAGTATTGAACTCTTCAGAATCATAGTTGAGAGTCTTAAATGGTTCTATTAAGCTGCACTTTCCTTAATCCATTTTTAATCAGGAAGTCAGGCCAATAAGATAATTTAAAGCATTCTAATTGGCATTCTATGTATCATGCATGTAAATTTGATTATATTTTCCTATGATATGATCATAGGAAAATATAATAGAATCATTGTATTTAGAATTGCCAACAATAACAGCTTCGTACAAATGTTTGATCATAAATTTACTAATAATTATAGTAACACTCTTGTGGCCAAGAGTATAATGTTGAAAGGTTGTTATTTTACCTCTATTAAGATCAAGTGACGTGACTTTGCCCTGCAGCATTATATGGTTCCCCGACATTTCTGTACGGATGTCCCAGAACCGTATCGTCTTGTCGAAATGCCCGGAGATTATTGTTGAGCCTGCACCATCCGACGTCACGAGGTCATTGCATGATGATCCTACGAACTTTGTTTCTGTACCTGTTAATATAATAATATTATTACAATGCTTGCTATACTCTCACCATGCAGGTAGTAATATTGAACTTCGTAAAGGATGTTCGCTCCACGTACGGCTAATGCTACATTTATGTATGTATATTTTTTATATAATTGGAAGAGTAAATAAGTTGATCGTACCTGATAAGGTATCAATTTTGAACTTAATAAGCAAATAATTACTAATATTCTAAACGTAAAAACGTATTTGTTCTCTATTACATTTTTGGGTTAAAATGGTAGAGGCTTTATTTTTGTAAGTTCTAATGTAACAAGCAGAAATTATTTTATAATTATTAAGGAATAAATATAGCAGACTAGCATGGACGTCGAGAACAATTAGACCTATGTCATAATGATATATTTAATATTATAATTTAAGAGTGTTCGTTAACTTTAGAAGTTACTATTTCCACAAAACAAAATGTCAAGATAATTTATTATGTAATGTAAAAATAGAATGTTTAGAACAGTTTTAGTGAATTTTAAAACTCTTAAACTCTAACAAAATGAACGAGGAAAATCGATTATACGTACAAATTAATTAATTGGAACCTAATTTGCATATCTAATTAATTTTGTACGAATTAGTCCGTGAAAGTCGGTCTCATTTCGATATTAACATTGTATAGAAGCGGTCAGGCGTCTATGGATATTGCAAACCAACATTGGTATTCAATATTATTTGTTTCTATAATCATTAACTTTGAATGTGTTCTACATACAACATGAAAAAGAAGTTTCTATAACAGTAGGTTACTACTAATACAGTTTCATATTTACTTATAATTATTATAATAATAATAATGTTCTATTCAGGCCACGAAAAAACTGACTTCAATCGCATTATGAAAGATAATACCAAACGTACTAGACAGAATAAATCAAATTTGCAAGAGATGCCAGCTAAAGAATTATCAAAATTGTTTCACGTAGAAAAAGTTATGACATGGAAAAAAAAACAATCGAATTGAAAACTTCCTCTTATATTCGTGATAAAACTCTACTAACGTTCCTTGTCTACTATAATTTAAATAACGTCTCAAATAGCAGGTTACAATATGAATTTATGCAAACAGAACTGTGCTAATTCAATAAGAGAAAAAGCTTAAATATTATAATTTTAGCGGTCCAAGGTAATAATGTATATATGTATGTATAAAAGACATCAACGGGTGTATATGTAACAACTGCCTATTGAATCCTTATAGCATCATACTTGATCTATCGGGTTGATATATCTAAGTAAATAGTTACTAACCGATTAAGTAAATAAAAAAATAAATCACTTAAATGTTTAAGCTGACGATGAAACCAATAAACAAACTTGCTAGTTTATTAGACTATGTAATTACAACTTTGATGATGAGAAATATAGTTTATGTGCGGATTAGATAATTATAAACAATTTCGAGTAGAATATCGCTCGAGCATCGCTCCTAATGACCTATAGTAAAACTAATTATAGAGGAAGATGGTGCCTCAAGCGTCAATAATTTTAATGTGTTTATGGGTACAAATTTCCTCGCTGGTCTCATGTTTCTCTCGTCCTTTAACTAACTCGATGTTGTATTGGTATGTAACGATTATGGCCGTAATTCGATTACTCGCAATAATTCCTATTGGTTCGTATTAGTTTCATACCCTTTATTAGTTCCTGCAGATTATATGGGCGTGCGCCAGATTGACGACAAGCGTTGCGTTCTTTAATAAATAAAAATAAATTCAGCAGCGGATAACAGCTGATTTCATAAAGCTATTGTGAGAGTTAGTTATGTACGTGTAAATGATGTTATGGTGTTATTACATAGTTAATAAATTCAAGATTACAATAAACTTGATGAAGTAATGTGAACCATGTTTTTGACTTGATATTAGTTTAAAATATTAGAGACACATACATCAAATTCTAAAATAATCAATAATTAATATATGCAACAATATACTATATATTGTTGTTGCAATACCTGCATATACTGCTTAGTTGACATCCTTACATTAAAAAAATCGCTTAGGTACCACGATATTATTATAATCCTTTTTATAAAATAATTTAAATCAAATATACATTTAAATTCAATGTAATATTGATAACTATATGTATGTATACATATAACTATATACTTACAACTTTTACTCCTGAGATCCCAAATTTTGAGTGTCCGGTCGTGGCTACCGGTGATCACCTTGGTTGATTCACCAAGAAACTTAGCTGCCATCACCTTCCCACTGTGCCCAGTCAGCGTGTGCTGCAAAACATTAATTACACGTTAAACAATTACAACTAGCCATTTTAATTATCTCTAAACTATATACGGATGTTGGCGATTTGTGCTATGAGTGTAAAGTTATTGCTGTGCTTAATGAACGTTTATATTTAAATCGTTGTCGTCAGAAACTCATTCATTTCCTTGGTGAAATTAATAGTCACTGGTGGTATTTTACACAGGTTTAGAGTTATAGATAATTTTTCAATAAAACCTTATAAAAATGAACTGCCTACAAATGTAGTTGCAATTTCAAATAAAAAAAAAAAAACAAAACAAACATTTTGCAAATGACTGGAAACCAACATGGCAGGGGGCGAATAACGTTGAATTACTATCTCAATTGACTCTGATGATATCCCAGTCAACATTGACTCTATGATGATTATTAGAAAAAAAATTAGATTGGAAGAAGAATTTATGACTAGGAAAGTACTAAAGCAAGAGATAGACAATACATTGAGCGTATTAGAGTCGTGACTAATTTTCGTAGTTGTAACCGTGTACGTAAAAAAGGATCAAGAAAATGGTTACAAAAATTTGTCTGCTCTAATGCTAATAATAATTATGTCTATCGCAATCTCTAGTTCACAACCTAACCTATTGTGGTTTCGGTAATTCTGAAATAGTACAACCACAGCGATGTCTTGTTTATATGCTACTAGCTACTCACTCTGGCTTCACACGCATGTATTATATACAAATAACCCTCCCCTCGAATTACTCTATCTATTTAAAAAAAAACCGCTTCATAATCCGTTGCGAAGTTTTGAAGATTTAAGCATACATAGGGACAGACAGCAACAGCGATTTTGTTTTATACTATGTGTAATGATGATGTACAATTACAAACAAATATGAATATTGTAAAATAATATTTAAATACAAGATATTATGCGTTTTGGGATTTTTGTATAAATGACGTTATAAAGACTATGACTGTATAGTACATACTTATTTTTTTATAAACTCGTTATTCTATGAATTAACTTACAATCTAGCTCTATGTGTAAATTGTGATTGACATTTATGGATTCATCATCATGTAATCATCATATTAATAATTTTCAGTTACAAGTTGTGGAGACATACTAACAAGTGTAGTTAAATATAAGTTTGTAATGAGATATATTAGAGGCGAAATCTATAATTATATAGATAGATAAAATCTTTATTCGTATGAAAACAATACAAACAAAATATACGTGTAGAATAATAAAATAAGACAATTTAACCTGTAAAATGAAAACATAAAAATAAAAGAAATACTAGATGCCACAGAAATACGTAGAGAGGAGTATTAAAAAATCCATACTAACTAGACAGTCTAATAAAAAATAGAAGAGACTATTCAATAGGCTACCGGCCGGCATTGGAGAGCCATTTACACGTGGCTCCCGGCGAACCACGAACAACGATTATTGTCTTCGCTTTATGGCCTCGTGATCACAACGAACAGCTTCACTACGCTGCGCCGAATAGTCCGCTCACGAGGGAAGTAGCTGTGCTGTCTATTTGCATTTAAAGTATCTATTAATTAGATGTCATACTGTGTGAACAATCCTTAGGTTCAATAAAACGTCAAATGAACTCGCGATTCCTATTTGTATTATTTTCATGTAAGAAATGTACCAAAACGTGAGAACTGTTTTATATGTAGCTTGACTATTTTAATTTGTTTGTAATAAATTAATGAACATTCTATTCAAAGTCGTAGCGTAGCTGTTATAGATTTATAACACGACGTAAGAACTGAACATGACAAGCTTGTAGTTAAACAATTCCAACACGCTCAAAATGTCTCCATAACTTTGCGGTAATATGCGACTGGACATCTGACCCACTCTCACTACTCTTAATTACAGACAAAACGCTCCGTTATCGGGCGGTACGGCCGACAAGTTTCATTGCGTTTATGTTTAGCAAACACTCACATATTCAAGGAGAAATGGGTGGGTTGATTCTTTTGTTTAAAGAAGAAACAATATTAAATGCATCCTCGACAAAATTTTAATTGAACCGATGTAGGAGTTAATTGTATCGATAAAAATAGTCATAATTTATACAAAATTGATGGTGATATCGCTTAACACACAAATGTAACATTTCAGAGAATATATTATATAATTAAGCTATTCTTTATGAAGTTTGTTGACAAAACATACAATACATGATAATTACAAGAGGTAATGTCAGTAAGAACATTGTGAGAACACAATATTCTGGTTTTAAGCAAACATGGATTATTTCCTACAATTGAAAATTACGATTTATAAGCGAATTTTTGACAGAAATAAATGAGAATGATATTCTCTTGAACACATAAGATATTTTAGATAATATTTGCATTTTTATTTTTGTTGTATATGAAGATTGTATAAAGCTTGACATTTTTTTATTTCATTGTATTCAAAATCTAAGTTAAAAGGCATCTTATTAATTACATAGCTTACTAAAGCGATTTCCCGCCCGCCTAACGACCTTTCTTCACTCGGTTGCCGATGTACCGTTTACCAGTAGTCCTCGCAAATTTGCTAGTCATGACGAGACGAGCCATTACATGTTATTACAGTAATTATATAGATACTGACTCGTCACAGAAATTCCACCACGCGCCTCGAATTTCAGTTCATTAAAAAGTTTAAAACGGTATTTAAATTGAGTTTAAGGTCGAAAAAAGTCAATTTGTCTGTGGTAATAAATGACATCACATCAAAAGCCAACATGACTGACTGAAGTATCGCTCGATACGTCTCAAATAGCGCTTATGGGGGAATAACTCGTGTTCTTTTTTCTTGATCCTACTTTTTACTGCATTTTATGGAAACTATTTAATAAAATTAACTGACGATAATTCTCGGTGAGGAGGAATTAATTGAGTTTAATTCGTTAAGCGCCATTTAGTCGGAACGTTGTTCCCAGTGAGTGCACAACGGGACCTTATCATCGCTTTAAAATTTATAGTATAGTGGCTAATTAAGAGTACACTCATTTAGTAGTTGGTCGCGTCACGAGTGCGGGGCGCGTATAAGCTCCCGCTTTCGGGTTATTGCGCGCGATAGTGGGGCACACTAATTGAGGGGGTTAAGCGATATCGTTTGGACAAGACCTGCCGACTTCTAACGAGCTCATATAACATACAATTTCTAGAAGGAAATGGAACCGTTTATACGAGTCCACATCTCAGCAATTTGTAATGACAACAGTAACGTAAGTGTAGTGTAGACTGTAGTGATCCGACCTGATGGTAAGATCTTGCCATAACTTATTTAGTAACAAAGATGTCATATGTGCCTTGTATGCTACAAGGAGCAACCTTGTTTTATGTGACTGGAATGGAAAATAAACTGAGGAACCACCTGATGCCGGTGACACCTGACCTGTATACGTGTACTACGTAAATTAGAAAATAGATTTAAGGCGCCCGTAGTATTTCCATTTCTTAGAAATAAAGGTCCTTTTACTACCTTAAAAATCACCAAGGCGTAAGATCAAAAAAACGCAGGCGGTTTATTTTACAAACCAAGAGAATCCTTACAAACTGCATTGTACACGATGCTATATACTCCAAGTTCAGTATAGTCAAACATAACCATAATATAGGTCGGTATACATATCAATAATTAAAAATCTAATAAATAGGGCCAATAATTTCATCATTATTGTTCATATAATTCAACTATACATTCCCTCCTATATCTAAATGTTAGTTATCAGGCACTCGTTATATTTATCTCAATATTGTGAATTTGAATATCAGAGTGGCCGTTTCAAAGTATAAATATCGTACGTGCGGCCAGCAAAATAACTCACTCCTTATAAATCGTTGATTTAAATTGCGCTCTCTCATTAGTGATTCAGTCTGTGGTTTTCCGTATAGAAATACACAACTTATTACTTAGCTAAAGGAATTATGTGCATCTGTGTACGAACCACGACTTTTGGTCAACGCATGCTAGAGCATAACTTATCTACATATCATGCAGATTTTACAAGATTTTGCGATTGAATTTCATAGAGTCCTTACTAATATTTTTAAATATGCAATGGATTTGTTAGTGATTTCTATTTTGTTTAGTGATTTCCTAACTGATCGTGGCGAAATTAATATTTGATAGGCAAAAAAATTAGCCATTCATTGCCATGCTGGTCAACTATCTAGGCATGGGAAAATGAATATAGATTCATTATCAGTACATCAAACTAACCAGATGTGTAAATTTTTACGCACTAACCGGGTGAGAACAGATGGGGTGTGTGATACATATGAATGGACGAACTTTAGACGATTTTTAATGTCTGTTAAAATAATGACTTCATAATGAGCTTATCCTCAAAACTAGTAAGCTAATAACTAAATAACATTAAGTCTAAAGCTACTCTAATAATTGATTCTGGGAGCTACTCTTATGTAATTTTAAGAAAATTTTAGTTTTAATGTTTTACATACCAAAACGACGCCAGCGCGGGCCATTAGTCAGGAAATAAATATTGCGTTGACTGAAAACATCACTGTCTTTTATTGCAACTTGTGCAATATTATATAATAAGGCTAACCCAATATAATATATATAGCGATACAAGATATACAAGAGATAAGATTATAAAAAACATTCTTAACTACCTACATTAAAAATAAAATTTATGACAACATTCTATATTTTTTGATAAAATTGCCTGTCCGTATTTCTTGATACGATCTAAATTCTGAGAGATCTCATTAACACCCTTTAAATCCAAACAGATAATGTTTATGACGATCACTGTATTCAGGCCATGCAGAACGGTAGCGCTCACATTATTGAGTTTATGGTTAAACTGAAAACTTGAGAGTTTATTATCTGGCAGGTACATTTAACTTCCTAGTTGGCGCTTATCAGGACTACATAAACAAGGACAGGTGGTGGTTAAATCACAAGAGTGTGCGCGATATGAAAAGAGACAACCTGATGTAATCAACAAGTGGCCGCCGCGGGGGCGCG